TGACGCATATTCAAGTTCTTAAAAAATATTTAAAACAACTATTCTTCTGTTACTATTTTATCATTTCCAAGAGGTTTTTAAGGATCTTGAGAGAACATTTTTAAAGGTTTCTACTACTATTACTAGTCAAGAAAACAACAACAAAAAATGCAGGTAGAGGAAAAGACTTAACATTTTGTCCAATATACATGTTAATCACCCTAACAGTAAAAACTCACATGAACTTTAAGATACAAGATGCCATGAGAGTCTCAACATGGAAAGCCATCACTATAACTATAAGGAGGGTCAGACATGCTTCTACTTTTACCTACATAAGCTGAAAGATGTTTAAAATACTGGGTTAATAAAGATCTTTTAGTAAAGTGACTTAGGCAGGCTTAATCTAGCAAGGATTAAGGATGAATCCTTACTAATTAATTGGAAGATCTGAGACATATTTTATATTTCATTTTACAAAATCAGAAATATTTATTTTGAAACAAAATAAGACATGGTCTACCTAACAGAAAACTACCACTCAGAAATATTTTTTCATCCACAAAGCAGGCAAAACATACAAACATTTAAATTTTATATTGGCACCAAAAAGGTTAATTGCCCTGCCTTTTTGGATTAGAGAAGCTAAAGCTGAGCAATAAGTAGTTTTGCAGGCGTTTGAACATGCCTAAGCCTTTAAATCAGTAAAATACTTTCTAAAAAAATTCTGATTACAGAAGTGATACATACTTACAAAAATTTCAAACAGAACAAAATGAAAAAAATAAGACAGTGAAGGGCCCCAGAAAATCCCTCTGGGACCAAACCCCAACCCCTCAAGAAAAACCACAGTTAACAATTTCATGTGATGTTTCTTTCCAAATCTTTCACTCTATTATAGATACAAAATACATACACCTTGATTTTACCTCATATTATACAATGTTTTGCCACTTGCATTTTACATTTAATATATCTTTGACATCAATGTCAGTACATGTTGGCTAGATGGTATTCTATCATTAAAAACCATTTTAAAAAATGGCAAAATCATTTTAAAATCATTCACACGTGTATGTTTGCAATTTTAAAAGAAAATGGACAGAATCCTAAGACACAAAGACAAATATCTAAAAATATCCCTATCTTTCCACCAGTGTGGAACAGTTCATTCCTTCTTCACACAAAACAAATTATGTGACTGTAGAGATTTAACTATAATCTCCACGTTTATGCAGAATTCTCCATTTGTTAAGCCTATCAAAAAATAAAACATTCAGATGATTAATTCACTTACACTTTAGAAACTAAGTCAGCGTACTGCAAATCCACAGTATGAGCAGTTATATTATGATCCTTTTTAGTCTAGTTTCAATTGAGTAACAATGAAAAAATTGGATATAGCAGTTAATGACTTGAAAAACCCAGAAATTCCAGGCTAGATTGCCAACTACAACACTGCTGTTTACATTTTTTTCTGCTTGGTAGCAAATGCTAATGGAATTCAATGCTGATTACTTAAAGTTTCTTTACATCACACATTCAATCAGGATAATAAGAACATAACATCCTTACTATGGAGTGAGATTAAGACATAAAAATTTTTTGCTTGAAAGTAATGACTGTGTAGCACATGGGACATTTGTCAACGGCTTCGGCACACTGTTTACAAGTGACCAGATGTCCACAAGGAATAAAAACTACAGCAATATTTCTATCCATACAGATTTTGCAAAGCTTCTCCTCTTGTAGGCGCCTTAGCTGCTCCTCAGTACTAATCTCCTTCTGCAATGAAGTCTGACTTGATTCATCTTGTGTATTATCTTTCTGAGCACTCACTAGATCTGCAACTAGAACCTCAAGTGATACACAGTTGCTCCCAAATGTCTGAAATTTTTCCTCCATTAATTTTTTAATATCCCTCAAACTAAATCCCATTCGTATAGCTTCTTGTACCATGGGATTCTGGAAGACTGTATCATCAATTCTTTTAGCCAGTGATGGTGTTTTTTCAGCAGTTCTTACCAGAGACTCTTCTAGTGAACAGGTTAAATGAATATTGTTTATATATTCTTGTCCCTTCTCTTCCAACAGATATTTACACCCTGGATACCACTTAGCATGTTGTTCCCAAGGGTCTTCACTGGGCTTCCAATTGGTTAGTCCTCCTCCACAGTGAAAGCACTCTACTTTATCACCTTCACCTGTGTAGTAGAGTCCAGCACTAGCTAACTCTCTGGGAGTTAGGTGGGCACAGTCTGGCCAGTTGTGAAATGACTTCAATCTAGCTTCTTCACTACACATGACATTCCTTGGGTATATAGTGTCTGATATATCTACAACCTGTCCAGTTCTCAAAAGGTAGTCTGCATGAATCTCGGGTGGTCTGTCTAAAGCAAAATGATTTCTGTTTCCCAGGTAGTTTTCAGCATTGTACTGACCATTTTGGGCACCAGGATTTGTAGGCTGCGCAGCACTATTTTCAAAATAAAACCCGTTGATAAATCTGCAATTTGGAGATACTTTTCTGTGTCTCCCAACTGCTGAGTCTCCATATTGCCATCTATCTACTGCCGCATGACAACTAAAGCACCACACAGTATCTCCTTCACCGGTGTAAAGAAAACCTGCTCGGGCCAGTGTTGATGCCGAAACAGGACTAGTACTTGGAAAATTAGCAAAAGTTTTTAATCTATTGAACTTTTCTACAAATTCTTCATCCTTATTGATGCCTGCAGGTACACAAGTCTTAGTTTCTTCAAAACTGTTAAAAGTCATCTTCTCTTGAAAACAGGACTCATCCACTTTTTCCCTAAGGCCTGGGCTCGCGATGGTTAGCGTCGCGCCCGCTAGGGGCGCCACCAAGGCCCCGTCACTTCCCAGAGCTGGAAGGGGGTAGCCAGAAAAAAAAACGAAGTCCCCTTCACCCCACCCCCAACCACCCCGCTACCCGCCCCCCAGCTGGAAACCAGAACCTCTAAGTGATTTTTTTTCAGTAGTTATTTTTGAACCATTTTATAAAATACTAACTATATTTAGATTTTAATTATATAAAATAAAACTGCAAATAGTGTAAGGAAGTGAGTAGTGCACTGGTTCTTAAAATGTTATGCCTCAGAATCACCTGGCTTGTTAAAAATACAAATTCTTGAGTCCCAATTTCCATGGCTTCTGAGGAAGAGGACAAGTTGTTCTTCTTACACACTTCCGTGGTATTTTTCAGACACAGTAACGTACAAGAACAACTAGAATAACATTTCCAGGGTTAGATTTCTAATTTCAAATCCCTTTCAACAATGAACAGCTAAAATAGGGCCTGCCTTTCAAACAAAAATGCCTCCAGAACGATTGAAGCCACCAAAATACAAGTTAGAAAAGATAAAAACATTTTTAAAAACAAGCAATGAACCAGAGGCACGTTCACTTAAAAATAGGAACCATTTAAAAGATACAATACCAAAATGAAAGTGACAAATAAAAAGAGAACATAATGGAAGAGAACCCTTCAGAGAAAATCATGATGTACGTAACAAAAATCCCTCAAGGCATACACAATGTAGGCTACAGTACTAAGCAACAAACTTTACTAATTAACTCTAAATCCACTGTCACATGATGAAAAAAAGAACCCACTGAAAACCTGACTTTGACTTCAGTGTGGTAAGCTTTGGCAGAGGGAAAATTAACCATGTAAATCCAAGGGAGAAGCACTCCACCTATTTCAAGTCTGTGCTTAGTCCTTCACTACTCTACCTCTGCAAAAAACATTGTCCCTACAACTAGGATGCTTCCCTTTCCACTTCCTTCTTTCAGGTGCAAACTTAATTCAGAGCAGCCGAAGGAAGAAGACAGCTAATAAAGGAATCCACTCAGGGGCCCCTTGCTATCTCAGCCATAGCAACAGTGACTATAACAGAGCCTTGGAAGGAATTCTGAGCAGCACCACCCTTTACAGATGCAGTGGTTCCCTAGCCCTTTCTGCTAGTACTTCCTGCCTCAGAGGAGAAGGGCGAAAGGACTGCGAAGTGCAGAAGGCAGAGCCTAACAGCCCAAGAGCTCCAACTGCATCAGGAGAATTAGCAAGCAATCACTGGTTTCAAAAACTGATTCCACTTTATTTCCTTTCTAAGCATTTTGGTCCAAGTTTTGTTCATATTCAGTTCAGGATAACAACAAGAAAAGATAGAAGAACACACACAGTATTTGTATTGAGAGATCAAAGTCTGCTATGTGTATAGTTATTCAAATTATATTTTAAAAGAGAAACATTTTTCTACACAATTTAAAATAATATTTTTCATTTAAAAAGTAAAATCCATGTCCATTATTAAAAATGTGGAAAATACAAAAAATATAAAAAAAAGAAAATAAAGCTCATTCACACACTATGATCTAGGCAAACCAACTATTATTATCTTCTACTCTTTAGTGCAATAATTTTAAACTGTGCATCTCGCATTTTCAAGCAATATAAAGAAAACAGATTTTTCTGTTCAGGATTCTATTGGACGTCCTAAGCAATACAATATATTTTTAGAATAAAATAATTGAAACAAAGAAAACCATCTGTAATTGCACACAATGATTTGTTTCATTTACTTAGAATTTCAAGAGTCTAGGGACAAGATCTTAAAATTTAGAGGAGCTAGTATCGTACTAACTTTTAAAAAGTAATACATTCAGGGGCCTGGGATTTAGCTCAGCCTCGCAAGTGCAAGGTCCTGAGTTCAATCCCCAGTACCACACACACAAAAAAAGTAATACATTCATATTCACTTGAAATAAACAAGTGGAAAATACAAGAGAGAAAAAATAAAGATTCCATTTAGTTATACCTAGGAATGCATCTGTGCAGAAAAGTCCCGAATCTGCTGTTCTTGGAGATGCTTGGGCCTGGAAACACAGCTGGTTCCTTACGTTGATGTATGCTTTCCCCAAATGACAAAAATGGCTTGCCAAACCTAACTGTACAAACAGTAATGGTTTGTGCTGAACACCTGCTTGTTTGTGGGAGTCTAGAACATTGGTATGTAATAGGCAGAGGCGGTAACCTTGGATACAGTCTGTAATGAGCTACTCTGGTAGACAACACTTCTTGTTCATTGTTATAACTTGTTGTTGGATGAAATTAGCATATCCTATTTGACTCCAAAGGGAGAAGACTCTTGGAAGCTTGTACATGGTTTCCTCTGAACTTTGCCCCATGAGCCTTTACCCTGTACTGATTTTGCTTTTCATCTTTTCACTCTAATAAATCTAAGCTGTGAGTACAACTATATGCTAAGTACTGAGAATTCTAGTAAATCACTGAATCTTGGGGTGGTTTGTAGCACAACATCTTTCTGGATATAATTATAAAATACTCATTGAAGGACAAAAAAGACTTACCTAAATTAAGAGTTATATCATGCCTGGGAATGGGAAGAAAGGCAAACCACAAGCCCACCTCATTCATGCATATATTTAATACAATTCTGAACAATACACCTGCAGAGTTTTTTAATGGTTCTTGATGAGTTAATCCTAAAATCAATATAGAAGAGTGAAGAGCAAAAAACAAAAACTGTGAAGAAGAAAAACAAGGTGGTGGAATTTGCCAAATCTCATTTCAGAAATTACCATGCAATTATAGTAATTAGATAAGAGGGAAGATAACTCAATGGGACTTTTTGGAGAATTTGACATGATTTTAAAATTTGTAAGACTAAGTAAAAGCCCAAAATAGTCAAGACCCCCTTGATGAAGATGAACCCTATCAGATTCTAAGAGTTATAAAGTTAGAGAAATTAAACTGGTTTCATCCACCACCTGCCTCGACAAGCGCAAGGTCCTGAGTTCGAGCCCCAGTACCAAAACAAAAAAGAAATTAAACTGGTCTCATATTGCTGTAAGAAGAGACAAACAGGCCAATGGAATGGAATAGAAAGCCTCAAAGCCTATCACCAATAAATGTGAAATAATGGTCCTTGATATTATGGACCTTAGGAAAGGATCAATAAATAGGCTAGGAAAACAGGCTACTCATATAGGGAAAATAACATAAATCTCTGTGTTACACCATTTTATATACTCTTCTATGTGTCTGAAACCCTTCATAATAAAGACTTAGCTTGACTAGATGCATACACTAAAATCTCTTATTCCACCGATAAATCACAGGCTGACAATTGTAATTTTATAAATTATTCTTCTTGCTAGAACCCTGGGGGACTCTGAACTTATTTAGGTAACACATAACCTCAATTTAACATTGACTTTTTAAAATAATTTGAACCTTACCTCATAGATCCTGGCAATCCCACAAAGCAGAGTTACTTCTCCTGGAAACTTATCTAAGCCTTGTTTGAAAAGGTTTAAAGCAGTTACAGGTTGATCCAATGACATGTAAACCTAAAAGCAAGACACATTTTAATAAAAGGGACATCAATTCTTAAAATATTTATATGTAAAGATTATAACTATGGACTGACAACAAATTATGTCCTAGATATCACAGTAAAAGTTTTTCAGGAATGTGCAGAATTAATTTCCAATTACGTTACAGTGTAATTATCACATGTTATACAGAAAGCGTTCATTCAGTTATACCTCCAACAAAACATTGTGGGCTCACTACTGTCACAGAGGCTGAGCAGCAACTAGACAAGAAAGGGTCAGGAGAAAATCCTTTCAGGCTAGAACAGCATGTGTACATCTAGGGGCTGGCATTAAGGAACCAAATAAGAGACTAAAGTTGAAGGTGCTGGAGAAAGAGGGAAGAACCCAAGGAACAATGTCTAAGGGGGCAGCAGGGCAGATGGTGGTTTGAGGAAACAAGTTTGTAAGGTATGGGATCAGGGAGCTGAGCCACTGAGTACTTGATGGCTTCCACCTCTTCAGCAATTAGGACCTTAGCACAGATAACCCACATACGTAATAGGAATTTCTGAAATAGAGAAGTAGGATTTTATGGGCATAAATAAGATTATGGGGCCCGGGGTTTAGCTCAGTGGTTTCGCCACCTACTGCACAAGCACAAGGACCTGAGTTCAATCCCCGGTACTGAAAAAAAAAAAAAAAGATTATGATGGTTGTTTTTGTGATTTTGGACCCACTTTCTAAACAGGTTGTACTTTGGTAAGAAGTCCAAATGGATACACAAAAACTGCACATAGCATTTATCTCTAAAGTATGAGATTAGAGACAGATATGGATGAAAACTTTTTTCAATTTTTGCCTAATACACTTTTGAGCTTCTTTTGTGAATATATAAAATATATATACACATATATAAATACAAAATATTTAATAACTTTAATTAACAAAGACTTGAAGAAATAATGTTCCTAAAATCTGCTTGCTTTCTGTTACATAGCAATTGTCTTTACAAATATTAAAGGAAACAAGTAAAATTTATCTCCATATTGGTTTATAGAAAAATAGGTGCAACCAATGTATTTAACAATAGCTAAAACAAAAAGTACAACTTTTTTCAGTCACATGGCCAGTGTTTTTTTTGTTTTCTTTTGTTCAGGTACCAGGGATTGAACTCAGGATCTTGGGCTTGCCAGGCAGGTGCAGGACCACTGAGTTAAATCCCCAGTCCAGACCAGTGATTAGTAAGTAAGAAGATGATAATTAAATAGTGTGACCTGTGCCTTCATTTCAAGCTGCCTCTTTCAGAAAGTTTAACAACAGTGATGCTTAGGAAATTCTTTCAGAATTTAAGTATAATATAGAATGTATAAAGAAAAACCTAGATACCAAATAGTTTCAAGTGTTTATGAAAGCCGTTGTAAATATTCTAGGATCAGGACAGCAAATTTATACAGTATTACTTTCATTTTCACTTTAGTATGCTAATTTTTATTACCATATTTAGGAACCAGTAGGGTTTGCTTTTTTGTTTTTGTTTGGTATGCTATGTAT